CACAACACACCCATGTACCACTGGCACTGCACACCACTACTACTGCCACTACAACAACAACAACAACTACTACTACTACTACTACTACCACTGCCACTGCCACTGCCACTGCCACTGCCACTGCCACGGCCACCACCACTGCCACTGCCACTGCCACTGCCACTACCACTAACCCCTGGCGGCTCGTGGCGGTACTGGCTTGGTGCTTGGGCGCCTCCTTGGAGGCGAGATCCTGGAACCAGGAAAGGTTTGGGACGATCTCCGGTTTTCCCGACCTACGAGGACCTACGAGGGTGTACAGCCAAGGGCAAAGGCGATGAATGGTCCGCAGGCGGATGCTGCAGCCATGCCCTCGAGCTCGGAGGGTGGAAGCATTGTACCTCCCATGCAGCATGCCCTCAATGTGACTTGCAAGGCGGCGTTGAGGCTGAGCAAGCTGTTGCAGCACAAGGAGACGGCTGCCAGGAAATGGGAAGAGTATACAGCACAGATGAAGCAACAGTTCATCAAGGAGAGACAGAAGTTCGAGCGGGACATGGAAAAGCTTACCTCGGATATCCGGACGCAGAGCAGGCCCAGGAACAGGCCCGCATGGCCGTTCGGGCTATTGCTTTCGAGGAGCTCATGCTCCACCAGTCGGAAGCCTCGGAGGTCGGAGGGCGGAGGAAGAGGAGGCCACTATGGATGCAGTGCTGCAAAGTTCTCTCCAAAATGCCAGTTCAGCAGGACGGGCGACCCCACAACGGCCGCGCACCTCAGCCCCTATGACTCCGGCGGTGAGGACAGGTGCACGTGCGGCGACAGTATCGGAGCAAGTGGAGCCTATGGAGCTGGAGCTGGAGTTGGCCGACGACCCATATCATCTCCCGGCCCCACCTGCAACTCCAACGCCACCGGGCTTTACCTCTTTCTGGGGATAGTCGTCTTCCAGCACAGAGTCGTGCCCGCGGATCTGCCTCGTTATCGGAAGCGCCACGACAGCCCATCATGGAGTCTTCCAAGCACATGCCGACACCGGTGCTGGGAAGACGCGGCTTGGGAGAAAAACTGCAGGACAGGCGCAATGCATTGCTCCCTTTTGGAGGTGGCGCACAGTCGGCTCCCTCGACTTGTCTCCTGCGGCGGCTTGCCGGAAAGCAGCTGGAGGACGACGGTACTGGACAGGCCTTGCTCTGAGCAGTTTCCTCTGTTCGGAGCAAGGGATGAGATTCTGGCGGTCAGGTGTGCGAGAGCACCAGTGGAGTTGGGAAATGTGTGGGTTTCATTTCCCCAACTCCTTGCACCAGTTGTCCCAGGGGCAAGGCTGCTGGTGCTGCGAGCACAGTGATCCCAGACCTGCTGATACGGCTGTACATAGCTTGCTGTACAACGTGCTGGGCCGTGCAAGTGTCTCCCTCTCCTCTCCCCCTCCATCGCCTTGTAATCGGGGCTTCCTACGCCCCCTTCTCTTTCACAGGGCTCCTACACAATTTTGGATTTGTGCGTGGCCCCAGTTTCTTGCATTGCTTCCAAGCTGTGGGCCAGACGGGTGCTCCCGGCGCCTTCGATGACCACAGGGAGGAATGGTGTGCCATTTTCCGCAAGCCTGGCCGGTGGAAACGCCTCTTGGAGCGTGCCGAGAGATGGCACATATACAGGCATCAGGCTGAAGCCCATTTTCAGGTCTTCGTCCGGCAGGTGTGGGAGCCATTGCCAACGCCGGTTGTTGACTGCGATAGTGTTGACCATGCATGTTTGATATGTGGTTTTGCTTTTGCTAATTGTCAAGCATGGTCGGCACACGCTGCAAAAGTTCCCTTGGAGTTCGGTGCCGGGCTTGTGCCACTCTCCTCACAGTGAATGCACAGTATCGCTGATACCTGCAGGTGTTTGCTCGCTGCTGTCAGGCGATTGAAGGTGGAGTTGTGGCTTTGTTTGATTTTGTGCCCGAAAAGCACGGCCATGTCCAGGGCGTGGCTCTGGAAGACATTGGGGTGTTGCAAGCAACCCTGGATGCTTGGATCGGAAGCCTTCCTGACGGTGCGACTAAAGACCACGCGGATGCTCGCTTGGCGCTTAGGACCGATCTGTGGTGCCAAGTTGCATCGAATGCGAGCAAGGTGTGTGGCCCAAGAGGAGGATTCGTTGAGGGTGTGCTTCATAGGAGGTGGATCGGTTGCCCGGCCGCTCCAAGAAGGTGCTAGGCGTGTGGATTTCTTTGGGCAGCCGCCTGAGGTAGTCAGCGACATTGTGTTTGCTGCGTGGCCTGCCTCGCCTTCCCCTTGCTCTCCCTTCTGGGTCCCTTCCTCATGTCCTCTGAAGACGTTGGCCCTTTAGCAACGGTGGCTGTCACAGTCATTTCTTTGGATTGACATTTACCGTGTCATACGCAGCTGCGGATGCCGACAGACAGGTATCATCGACTTTCCATTTTCAAAAGCGAGGTGCGGTGAGCTCGCAGATTGGCTTGAACATGCTTGCCTTTCTTCGCTGGGCTTGCCCGCGCTCCCGAGTAGTTTCACTTACTGAGTTTATTGTTTGCATGTGGTACGCCTTCGAAGAGCTTAGCGCCGTCTGAAAGAAAGAATTACTACTACTACTACTACTACTACTACTCTACTACTACTACTACTACTACTACTACTTCTACTACTTCTACTACTTCTACTACTTCTACTACTTCTACTACTGCTACTGCGTACTACGACTACTACTACGACGACGACGACGACTACTACTACTTGTACTCCTACCGATACGGCTACGACGACGACTAGTGCTTCTACTATGACGTTTGCTACTGCTACTGCTCATAGTACTAGTGCGGCGCCTACAATTACTAGTACTAGTACTAGTACGTACTAGTGCTGGTACTTGTTCTAGTACTAGTACTAGTACTAGTACTACTACTACTACTACTACTACTACTACCACTACCACTACTACTACTACTACTACTACCACCACTGCTACTGCTACTACCACTTCTACTGCTACTGCTACT